ATGCAAAGCCTCCTTATATTTTTGATTGTACGTGTTTTGTTCACAATCGTACTCAATGGAAAGATAGACATACAACTATAGCCTTTTATTGCCCCTTTCTTGTTCATGTCTGTCTTTAAAAGAGATAACATTGATAGGGGTGTAAGTAGGCTAGGTGGTTTATTAGGGGTCTACAACTTGGCCTACCTTAAGTCTGACCTGGCTTAGTCTATGTAGAAAACAGAGCAAGTTTAGATTTTTAGAAAAATCATTTAAAAATTAGGCCATAGATTCATTCTAAAAAATCTCTCCTAAAAGCCTGCAGGCTGGCATTTTAATTCTTTTCAATAAAATAATATATTTATAAATACTGCCAAGAAATTTAAGGATTACTTTATATGTTATTATAAACATTATTTAAGGATCTTTGTGATCTTTTTAAAAAAAATATTTGAAAATTTTTATAATTTGGACTCATGTTGGAAACATTGTTTAATAAATGAAAAGTTTTATTTTTTTATTTTGGTTTGGTTTGCAACTTTATAAATGTTTCAGGCCATGTTAGCCTTTTCATTTTTTTATAATAGGCTAGGTCGGGCCTATAAATCAAGCCTTTAATAGGTTAATAGGCCAATGTAGGCCCTAAATGTCTCATATAAGCTTAGGGGGGTGTATTGTATTGAGATTTTAAAGGATTTTAATGGATTATTTTTGGACAAAATGATTGAAAAAAAGTTACGTGGTATTCGATTAGGATTTTAAGAGATTATTTTGGAGTCTGTCCAAATCTGGTGGTATTCAATCAGGATTTTAAACAAAGGAAAAATTATCTTGTGGTATTCAAAAAAAATTAACGATTTTAGTGGATTTTCTATTGGTGTGGATTTGGTGAGACTTTTTAGTGAGAAATATAAATAGGATATCTCTCTCACAATCTCACCCTAACCCCTAAGATTTCTTGAGATTTCTCTATTACAATGCTTCTTTTTCCTTTAGCGAGTCGACTGGCTCAAAATCGGGTTCCTCCATGGGAGCTTCGTCAGAGCTCAAAAACAACAGATTTTTGAGTGATTTTAATCACAAAACAACAAAAAATAACAACCCAACAAGATTATAATCTAATCCAAATAAAAATAGCAGTTTTTTTAGAGCTTTTGGAAGTTTAAAAAATAATTTTTCAAGCTATTGGTCACAATTTTTTTACCACAAAAGGTGTGTTTTTTGTATTAAAAATAACATAAAACAGTGAAAAAATAATAGGGCAACAAAAACTCCCCAAACCAATTTTTGTTTTACATCAGTGAAACAATATCGATTTAAAGAAAGATTAAAACTTTCATAATATGATCCCTATGTTTCGTAACAATACATTCATGAACGAAATTCCTTCGCTATAGGAAACAATTTCCAACAATTTTTGTGTCAACAGATCACTAAAAACTTGTTTTTCAAATGCCTCAAAGAAATTTAAGGTTTCAATGTATCGATTGAAAATAATTTGAGAAATTTTCTAAACTTTCATGTAATAAAACCCAGAAATTCAGATTCGAAATTTTCTTATAATACTCAATGAAAACATGCATACAATATATGGTTAGAAAACTCTCATTACATAGAACAAAAATCTCAAGGTTTTTAAGATCAAAAGCAAAAAATTCCAAATGAAATTTTATCATGAACTTTAGGTTCTGTATACAAATTTTGAATTATTTTAATAAATAACAAAAATTGTGGGTCTTATAATCATATATGCATAGCTCTGATACGAAAATGAAGAAGATAATTTTCATTTGTTAATGTGTGGAAGGCTAGTATACATATGTGGAGAGCTACTGCTTAGTAGAACATCAAGTTACAACTACTGCTTAGTAGGACTTCAAGTTACATCAAATTATTGATTGAGAAAATTATATTAAATTTTATTTTTTTATTAATATCATTGTATTTCTTTGTTATTTTTTTTACTGACTCTTGTATTTTTGAATGTTTGTTAGAAATTTATATAATTTTTTAAAATCTTATAAATCCATATTGTCCTTTCGAATCTTATAAATTCTATTAAAATACTTTAAAATTCAATCTTATAAAATCTTGATTGTAGAAAAAGTCTTTTAAAAAAACCTTTAAAATCACTACAATTTTAGATAATCTTTTAAAATCTATAAAAAAATGTATCTAAAAAATAATTTTTTAAAATCCTAATCCAATACACTTCTTTAGGTTATTAAGGCCAATGTCTGAACTAGTCTAACCTCATCTATTTACGAATAAATTTTTGGTACTACTGATGTACCAAAGATTCAGTGCATCCTACCAATGAAAATATTACATGTTAGCTAAATTCTTATTTTCAGTTAAATTTTTTTTCTCTCCTCTGATGTGTAATGTTCTCATTGATAAGATGCACTGAATCTTAGTACAACTATCAAAGATTTATTCCCTATTTACACGGTTAATCATTATTGCTCTCTGGATCTTTGATGTTATATTGTAAATATTGGTGTCACCTTTTTTCATTATTAACCTTTCTCTGCTTCGTTACACAGATATTTGAGGTGAATACTATTCTCCTTATTCCTTTGTATTCATTCTTAAACCACAAGTTAAGCACTATCACATCTAAAATGGCGCCAAGCAATGGTTGACGAAATGTCTACCTTACACTCTAATGGCATGTGGGTCCTTAGCCTAATATGAATCGTACGCTGGAGTATAAACATTAAGGGATATATTTTTCTTATGTTGTAGGAAAAGAATTACCTCATGTTGTAGAAATAAAAGTATAAGTGGGACCCACATGTAAGAAGAGAGAGAAAAAAAAAAGTGGTGGGACCCAACCCTTTTTGTGTGTGTAGGAGAGATGTTTATCTCATGTAAAATGAGATAAACATAACCCAAACATTAATTATAATAGACACATTAGGTTAGATACGAAAACAGTGGAGGCGACTAGAGCTTGATCAATGGGGATGGATAGAGACGAAAAGCATACAATAGAGATAGCTCAAAGATGGAACCTAATATCTTGATACGTTGAGAAAATACATAAGAAACAGAGGCTAAGCGAAACTAGAAATTGTATATTGTTTCGAGCAAAGTATTTTTTCGTTACTTAAACAAAAATTATAGGATCCATTTTAATCTCTTAGAGAAATAAATTTGACTTATGATTCCTCTAAAATTCAAAATAGACCTTATTAGTTGAAATTATGATTTCTCTAAAATTCAAAGAATATCCACATTAGTCCGGGTCTTTTTAAATTTCAGAAGGACCATGAGTTGATTTTTAAAAAAAGAAATTAAATTAAGTCCCGTAATATTTATTGATAACCAAAAGATATTTTACTATATTGTTTACAAAGAGAACGCTATACATATTTATAGTCCTAAGACTGTACAATGTTAATTATAAAAAATAGGAAAAAAAAGTAAACAATAATCAATTACAATCTATGATGCAGGATGGTGGTAGACCCAAAAAATTTCATTTATGTCTGCACATATAAGGGGATTCGGAGTAGCGTTCAGAATTTTTTTTTATATAAAAAATTTAGATACATTAAAAAATAAAAAAGAGCATGTTCTTGTAAAAAGGGAGTTCGATTATAAATGTAAACAATTTTGTCATCCACATATATGGATAAAGCTTAAAGAATAATAAAAATTCAAGAACACGTGTTGGCACTTGGCACTCATTCATAGGAGCGATTATTTCACGGTCTGGGAGCAAGGTGATCCCGGCCAAAAATGAAAAAAAAACGATAGAGAGGAAAATATAAGAAAAGAGAGAGATCTAAGAGTATTTTTTTTTATCAAAAAAGAAAAAGGAGTATGAAAATTTTGATGGGCCCCGTGTATAATAAAAATTTGGGAAATCATTATCTCCATCTACATGAGATAAGAACTTTTTCCTACACAAATTCGTTTTCCGTGCCAATTAATTTTTCTTTTCTTTTTTAATTTAAAATGTAGGACCCACATTTAACTTATCTCTACTTTTTTTCTCTCCTACTATCTTACAACATAAGAAAATATGCACCCTAAAAATTTCCCATTCATAGAAAGGATAGCACTTGGCACAGGCACTCACTCATATTATTTCTCTCTCCATTGTCTCATTTCTTCTCTATATATTCATTCACCTTCTAACCATCTCTTACGTGTTTTATGTCTGCATTTGCAGTCACCTGTACATGAGCAGGTCCGCCGTTGAAGCATAGACACGAGACACGACACAACACGTTAATTCTAAAAAATGGCATATTTTGACACGTTGTGACACGTTTTGATATTAAATAATATTTTTAATATATATAATATAATTTATATTTAATAGATATATCAGTCCACAATAAGTTATATAACCAATCAAATATTCAAATTTCATAACATAAATATAAACAAAAATAATTTTTCATACCTTGTTAATTTTTCATGTCAAATTTCATAACAAAAAAAATTGATTTATAAATAACTTTTTTTATTTTTGGTTAATAAAATAAAATTAAGATTAAAAAAAACGTGTCCGAGCGTTGACCACGTGTCCAAAAAAATTGATTGCGTGTCAAAAAATGTGTCGGACCGTGTCAGAGAATTGACCACGTGTCAGACACGTGTCCGAACATGTCAGAGCGTGTCCGTGTTGGAAGCGTGTCCGAGATACAATAATACTAGTTAAAATAACTACACTAACGGCATATTAATTTCAGTGAATATAATAATTATGCTAACAAAGCTAAAAATACTTGTTCCTAATTCTTATTAGCTTTCATGTGTTGTCTTCGTCTACTTTAATCAATCACAAAAACTGAATAGTCCAAAAATGAATTTTCCTTAGGGGGTCCAATCAGAGTTTACGCACAAAGCTATCATGTTAATATTATATCTTGCGACTATTAGCTGCGACGTTGACTCTTTGCCTTAAGTTTTTATAAGGATGGGGTTATCTCGTTTTCCCCTTTTATAAAACCAAAGGTTTTTGTTTCTGTTACATTAAAAAACAAAGCAAAAGAGAAGGAGGATTTCCCATAGAAGCAACAAATCAATGAAGTTACCAAGTCCTGCCCTTTTCTTTCTCCTCCAAATTCTTCTTCTCTCTCTACTCCACAGACCTAGCTTTGCAGTGAAAAAGGTGAGGCATTGGAAAAAGCTAAAACAAACCACTATTCCTTCTGGTGCTGGAAAACACATCTAATCTATGCACTTTTTTTCTGTTGTGCTTGTAGTCATATGTTGTGTACTTAGGAGCACATTCACATGACCCAGAATTGTCTTCAATTGATTTCAATCTCGTGACACAGTCACATTATGAGTTTCTAGGATCTTTCTTGGGAAGGTATGAGGAAAAGTACAAAAATCTTGTTTCTGATATAATCCCAAAAGTCACATATTATCAAACTATAACATTTTTTTACTAATTGAAATGCTTGAGTTTCCTTCCATGTGTAGTTCTAATACAGCCAAAGATTCCATCTTTTACTCCTACACAAGGCATATCAATGGTTTTGCTGCAACTTTAGAGGAAGAAGTTGCAGCTGAGATAGCAAGTTAGAACTCAGAACCTTCTCCTCTGCTAGTTTAGTCCCTCTGTTTTCTCTGCTCCTTCCTTTTTCTTTTTCTCATAGGTACCTACCCTTTTGTCAAAACTGCTTGTAGAGCATCCCAAAGTGTTGTCAGTGTTCGTGAACAGTGGGAGAAAACTACACACAACTCGGTCATGGGAATTCATGGGGCTAGACAATAATGGGGTGATCCCATCTAGCTCAATCTGGAGAAAAGCTAGATTTGGTGAAGGTGTGATTATAGGAAACCTCGATACAGGTGAGTTTCCTTTTTTTGTCTGTTTCAAACTTTGATCATTTTTATTTCAAAGATGTCAGCAAACGCCTTCTAATAATGGTTTGATTATTATTATTATCGTTGACTGAGATACACATGCAGAAGTTGAACGAAGTTATCTTATTATCTATATTCTCCATCAAATAACGAGTTTCTAGAGCTTCATCTTTTCAAAAAGGTTGATCCCATAAAATTAGTGTATTACTTATTTGAATCTGGCCGTCATTGGGTTATAATGACCAATTCTTTTCCACACCCAACGTGCGAATTGTTCATGTATGATCTTAAACAAATTGCAAAACCTTTTTGTGGTTCCAATAAAGTGAATAGAATAAGGTTTGTTGATACATAATGGGGTAGCCCGCTTTCAAGTTTTTTACAACAACAGTCCACCATTGAAAAAGGTAATATAAACAATCAATTAGCATCTTATAAATAATTCAAAAAAACTTAAAATTATAAATATGTATAACATTATAAAATTTAGTTTATGAATATGTTGTCACAACTCACATGTAAGATTTTCATAAATCCTACTTGTAACAAAACTCTATATGTTATGACAACCTTAACAATTTTCATTATGATGCGAATAAAACAACAAAGGGTTAGCTTATTCTATGTTAGGTGGGGCTGTGAGGGTGCCAAAGTGGGGTTAGCCATGGAAGACATAATAAGGTCACCGATTAATAAGAAAATTGTTATGTGCATACATCAGCATATATTCAAAATGCTCCCTAGTTGTAGCCGTGAAAAGTGGGTGGGCAATGGGAACTAAAACAGGACCATCTAGGTCTCTTTTAAGCCGAAATTGGATGAGATTGAAATACGTAGAATCTCCGTTTACAATGTGCTTCTTAGTGGTCATCTTACTTTGTCCACACTACTCACTTTTTTTCTCACACCCCATTACTGTAGGAGTTTGGCCTGAATCCAAGAGCTTTAGTGATGAAGGGTTGGGACCAATTCCATCAAAGTGGAGAGGAATCTGTGATAACGGAACTGATCCTGGTTTTCACTGCAACAGGTACCATCTTTTTCCATGTATTACTGTAATCACTCTTCTTTTTTTTGGCAAGTGTTGTTTTCTCTTAGTTTTTCAAACAAATTTGTCAAAGGGTAACACAGGAATATACTGATTAAAGAATAAAATAAAAAATAATTTTTTAATATTCTTTAAGCAAATAAATCATTTAGTTAAGGTTAATAAAATTTTCTTAACCAATTATTTAATTCTTGCCAAAGCTGAGCTTGATGGCACGGACCCTTCTTTAAATTAAAATATGGTACTTGGTCCCATATTTATAATATGGAAAAAATGTGTGTCATTTTAAAGGATGTAAAATTATGTCATTTTAAGAGAGAGAAAGAAAAAGATACACGAGAAAAGAGCGTTGACAAAAAAAAAAGGTGTGGGTCTCACCTCTTTGTGAGAGTGAAATGATATAAGTTGTGTCATTTTAAAGGATAAACACTTTTCTCATATAATATTCATCATTATCCTATTAGTTTCCGAGATAGATTATTCTACCAACTTTTATTTTATCTACCTTTGCCTACCTTTTTAATATCGTTAGAATATAATCTCAACCAAGGTAGAGATTTGCGGAATAAAATAAATTATTTTTCCTCTTTCTTTATCTTCGGTGTCTCTCACACCCTTTCTCTCTCCTCTTATTTCTCCATAATTCATTTTATTGTAAAACCAGTAATTCTAAACACCTAAACTAGGTTTAAGGCAAAGATAGCAAAAAGGTGCAGTCTTATCCCCATAATTCCAATTATCGATAAAATGAAGAAAATTCAATAAATAAAAAGGAAAAATTTTGAATAAGGGACTTCTTAATTGTTAAATGATGCGAATGAGAGTGGAGACCTCCATGGTTGAGAAAGAGAATAAAAATGTTGATTGATTTCTGTACAATACAATAAGTTGCGGGCACAAATTCATTAATCATTTTTTTTGTTTTGCTGATTCAATTGCTACAATTCTACAGTACAATGAGTTGTGGTTTCCCAATAGTTATTATATTAACTTCATTCCTTTGAAAACAACATTGTTACCTCTATCTTTCTTTTTCATATTATTTTTTGTGGTTTCCACACTAATAATGATATAAATGAAAGAAAAAGAGTAAAACACTTTTTGGGTCCCAAACAAAAAAATATGATCTTTACTTTCATCCCTTACAAAAAAAATATCATATTAGTTCTTTTTTAGGGACTAAATTAAACTTTCATTAAATTTCTGAGAGATCATATTTTTTAATAATTAAAATTTTAAAGGAACCAAAAATTAACTTTTTTATATAAGGGGAGGAGCATGTTTTTTTATTAGAGATTCATAGAGGACTTTATTCAAAGAAAAATGCCACGTATTCTTACTGCGAAACAAGGGGACGCTTTTATCCTCGTTAACTATGAGGTAGAATCTAAGATTTGGGAGGTATGGGTAGAATCTTATCCATCTTATCCAAAACTCCAGAATTTTCCAAAAGCCTGTGCAAGTAGCTGTCGACTTTATGCTGAGTGAATCTTGTATATCAGAAATTGTGGGATGGGATGGCTAATTCGGGAAAAAAAAAAATTAAAGAAAACGAAAACGGTAGCTGTTTTTATTATGAATACTTTGAACATAATATTTTTTAGGAAGAGATTATATTTATAACCCTTTTTCCATTTCAACCTCTTACGACAAGAGATCATAAATATATATTTTTTTAAATAATGAAAATTATAAGTTTTGTAGCATATATAAACAATTTTTAATTCAGACTTTTCTCCAAGACAGAGCTTCAAAGCGGATGATATTAGTTTATCACATTTCTCCAAGGAAACAGTCAGATTGAGGTTCAATTTGTTTGAATAAAAGCAACAATAGCTAAAAATACTTAAAATTAAAATGGTTTCAGAAATTTAAACTAGTTATTATCTAATACATTACATGAGTCATTTTTTTTAAATTCGGTTAATTTTTTTAAATTATAAACTATAAAGTATAATTAGTTAAAATAGATTTAAAAATTAATATTAAAAAAATAAAAAATAAAAATCATTTTTTAAATAATAAATTAAAATTTATATGTTATTTTTAATAAATAACATAATTAAAAATTAACACACTACTTTTATGTAACGATGTACTTTTTTATCCGACATTTACTTATATAAGTAGTAAAAATATTTTGAAAAGTTGATAAAGGTGAGGGTCAAAGTGGTTATGCATTTAGTCTTGAAAAGCATATCTTTGATTGTGTTTTATGTTCTTTTGCAAAATTAATGTTAGTGAAACATATGTTTTTGTGATTTTTTTTTTGTTTTGAAAGTTAAAAGTCAAAATACATAATAAAGACAACTTAGATATGTTCTTTAAATTTTATTCTAAAAACTAAAAAATAGTTATAATTTTTAAACTATTTTTATTAAAGAGACCTTATCAAACATATCTTTTTTGTTTTGAAAATTAAAAAATTATTTTTAAAAACAGAATTCAAACACACCCTTATTTTCCTTAACTTGAAGGCATTTGATATTGACTACCACCATAAATATTGGAAAAGGTCATCTTCAAGAGAGAGGGTCATACATAATAGGATTACTAAATATTGTAATTTTTGTCAAAAAATATATATAATAGTTATAAGGTCAAGGCTAATCTTTAAGTGCATCCTTATTAACGGTATTGGCAGCATGTGGTCAAGAATGATTATAACTAATATTACAGTTTTTGTTATCAAAAAAAAAATAAAAATAAAATTACAGTTTTACTAAATGAATATTAGTAGAGACAGGTTTTCCCTGTTGTTGTTTCAATAAATAAAAAATAGAAAAATAAGCATGGTTAATTTTAATGTATTAATTACTAATTAACGTACACATGAATTCCATGAGTTGCTTTGAATTTAAGATCTATAACCATTACTTTTTGATGTAATAGTCAAATTTTGATGTTTCAAATTATAATCTGTTGCACCCAACAGGCGATGATGATAGTTGAAGTGTAAAAAGAATTATAGTATCTTGCTTTTCTTAAGGTCAACTTTTGTAGATTACCTTTTGACTTAATATATAGATTAAGTAGTTAGTTTAGCTTATACAATCTTAAAGATGCACCCTATAATTAATTAATTTTCCAATTTGTGGGTTAGCTTATTTTACTTTAACATTATAATCAAAATATCTCAAATAGAACTTTTGATAGAAAGATATTCAATTATAAAATAAATAGTATCAAATATATTTTTATTTTTATAAAGTATGATAGAAGGACTAATTTCTAAAATTTTAAAATTATATCACTTGATTTTATTTTATTTATTTGTAGAAATATTCAATTGTCTGATACAGTTCAAAAAAATAGAAATAATACGTATTTTTAATATATTTTAATATATTAAGTGACTTTTTTTTTTATAATATGAAGAAAAATGCACTCTTTCTTTTTTGTTACAATTTTATTAATGGTAAATTCATATCATATTTAAAAGCAAAGAGATTAGTATTTTCTATGATATTAATAGTGTACTTAATTATTCTCTCAAAGTAATGTCACATTCTATATTTACCGGGAAAAAAATGTCACATTTTATAGTCAAGAGTAATTACTTCCAAGATAGTTTATATTAATAGTATTTTTCATCTTAATTTTATTAAGAGAATTATTAATTACACTTTGAGATAATTTTATTACGCATAATAAATTAAAATAGATTAGCCAAAAACTTTTAAAATTGTTATGTAATTACTTGTTATTATATTACAAGAGAATTTGATTTTGAAACTATCATAATAAAACTCATTTCGTAAAGTAATATATAATATATGAATTTGGTATTTCTCTTAGAGATAAAATTATTTTTTAAATTTAAATATATATCATTTTGAGATTTAAAAAAAATATAGGGAATTTAAAAAAAAAACAGATTACAAGAAAGAGGTAATTTTTTTAAAATATTCTGTATACTTTTCTTCAAATTCCAAAATAATATTATTTTAGAATTATACAAGATAACTTTATTTCTTTAAAAACATCAGGAATAATTTATCTTCTATACATAAATAAAAATTTGTGGGGTTCATGTAGGGCAATGTGAAAAAACGAGAGAGAAATAATACGAGCCCTACACACATAATATATAATGCTCAGAGAAAATGATCTCTCTCCATATATATATATATATATATATATATATATATATATATATATATATATATATATATATATATATATATGGGTCAGGATCCTTTTACACCGGTTTCAAACTTTGAAATTTGACACTAAATCCTAACAGTTGATTGACAGAAATCATTGGTTAGGATTTGATGTCAAATTTTAAAGTTTGATACCGTTTTCAAAGAATCCTATATATATATAGATGGTAAAATCATTTCTACAGTCGCTTTACATACAGCAACGACAGGTGTATGGTTATGATTCCCCACGTTTGATGCTTTCATCCTTTGTATGATTATGATTCTCCGTATTTAATGCTTTCAAATATATATATATGGCAAGTATTTGATTGCTGCATGTACAGCTGTAAACTCCTATATATATATATATTTATTTATTTGAGGAAGCGGTTCATTTTCCCCATTTCTGATTCCTTGAGATAACAACATTTACTTGTCATATATATATTTGAAAGCATTAAATGCGGGGAATCATAACTATACAAAGGATGAAAGCATTAAACGTGGGGAATCATAATCATACACCTGTCGTTGTTGTAGGTAAAGAGGCTGTAGAAATGATTTTACCATATATATATAGGGCTTATCATTTCTCAAGCTGCTTGAGATAACTTTATCTCCGACTATAAAATCATAACCATACAAATATGAATCAACGAAATAAATAAACAAAACGACGTAATTTTGGGGTAAGCAGAGATAAATATATCTCAGGCAGCTTGAGAAATATTTTTTTCTTATATGGGCTTATCATTTCTCAACTTGCTTGAGATAACTTTATCTCCGGCTACTAAATCATAAACATATAAAGATAAATCAATAGCGATAAAGGAAGAGAGAGAAAAAAGAAATCATAACCATTCAAAAATAAATTAATTACTATAAAAAATAAATAAACAAAATGACATAATTCCGGTCCCATAATACTAATTTGTATGGCGAATGCAGGAAGCTAATTGGGGCAAGGTATTTCAACAAGGGCTATGCTTCTATTGCTGGCCCACTCAACTCTTCATTTGACTCACCGCGTGACAACGATGGGCATGGATCCCACACTCTATCAACTGCTGGTGGTAACATGGTAAGTGGGGTCAGTGTCTTTGGTCAAGGAAATGGAACAGCAAAGGGTGGGTCCCCTAAAGCCAGGGTGGCATCTTATAAGGTTTGCTGGCCCCCTATTGGTGTTGATGAATGCTTTGAAGCTGATATACTAGCAGGTTTTGATATGGCCATCCATGATGGTGTTGATGTTTTGTCTGTGTCATTGGGTGGCTCTTCCTCTACCCTTTTTAAAGATAGTATTGCCATTGGATCCTTCCATGCTGCTAAGCATGGCATTGTTGTGGTTTGTTCTGTTGGCAATAGTGGACCTGCTGATGCTTCTGCAGCGAATCTTGCTCCATGGTATATCACAGTTGGTGCCAGCACAATGGATAGAGAGTTCCCTAGTTATGTTGTCCTTGGTAACAAGATAAGCTTGAAGGTTTGTCTCTTTCTCAGACATAATTAACGCAAACAAGTTACGTGGGAATGAATATCTCATGTTATGTGACCTTATATAAATAATCTGTGTTGTTCATAGACAAATTAACTATAACAAAAGACATTCAGCAATGGTAGCTCAGTTGGTGCAATGAAGTTGAATGGATGAGAAAGAACCTCGGTTCGATCTCCACCAATGCCATTTTGGAGAGAGACATAAAATCTTAATTCCTAACTTTCCCTAAACTCCGGATTAATTCATAGACGGGTCAAATGGAGGGTGAAAGCCAAAAAAAAAAAAAGAATACTAGGATAAGATGTCACCATTGATTTGTCTAAGAATAATTGAAATCATATCATATAGGGTTGTGCTGAGATGAGAGTATCCATTCCCACACCTCATATAACAACATTTTCTTTTTCACTGTCTACACATTTAAAAAGATTAGCATTAAAAAAAATTAGATTTTATAGTTTAAGTAAAATCAGTGTCATACCCCGTTTACCTAAGAATTTCTACAAGAATATAGGCTGACTCAAAATAATCTTGTTTGCTTCATTTGAAGGGAGAAAGCTTGTCAGCTGCAAGATTGGCACACAAGTCCTACCCAATTATTAAAGCTACAGATGCTAAATTGGCCAGTGCAACAGCTCAAGATGCGTGAGTATCAAACAATTGAATCTCATTATAGTCACTTTTGTTGAATCAGCACTTACATTTAAAATAAACATAGTACTATATATGGTAAATGAAAATTCATGTGAAGCCATTGTAATCTAATGCAATAAGCAGTGTGCTGTGCCAGAATGGAACTCTGGATCCCAAAAAGGTGAAGGGAAAGATTGTAGTATGCCTCAGAGGGATAAATGCAAGAGTGGACAAAGGAGAGCAAGCTTTGCTAGCTGGTGCTGCAGGAATGGTTCTTGCCAATGATGTGACCAATGGGAATGAAATTTTAGCTGATCCTCATGTCCTTCCAGCTTCTCAGATCAATTTCACTGATGGTGTTGCTCTCTATAAGTACATCAACTCAACTAAGTAAGATATCTAGCATTGTAGTCTTGTAACTATTAGTAGTATCATGCTTCTTTGCTATAGCTACTTTGGGATTTTGCACTATACTATATATTCAATCACAATATATGGAGGATTACTATTAAACTCACAATTTCAGGTCAAGTAAGTAGGGAAACAACTCTAGTTTCTGTTTCTGATCATTGCCACATATTTTTCTGTAATATGTAGATCCCAAAAGGATATTCATTTGTCTTTCAACTTGACTGCTTGGAGTTCATTGCTAGGTACCCTATGGCTTATATTACACATCCAAAGACACTATTGCATACTAAGCCAGCCCCCTTCATGGCAGCGTTTTCATCAAAAGGACCAAATACTATTGTACCAGAGATCCTAAAGGTATCATTACTCGGAAATAGATCCTCTGTTGTTAAAATTTTAAGTGATTTTGACGTGTACAAGTTTTGTACCTATCTTTCTCTTCGTAAATTTTAATTGAATCCCAATTATTTAATGTCTACAAAGAGAGATCATACAAAAATTTTACATGACAAAGTCATGTAAATTATAATATGAAATGATCCATTCCTCTCATTACTATACTTTGCCTTGTAATTTGTTGTCATGTGTTGGTGATGTAACAACTCTTGTTTCATTTTTTAGCCTGATATCACTGCCCCAGGAGTGTCAGTTATAGCGGCCTACACAGAAGCTGAAGGGCCAACTAATCAATATTTCGACAAGCGTAGGATTCCATTTAACTCAATCTCAGGCACATCAATGTCATGCCCTCATATTTCAGGAATTGTGGGCCTTTTGAAAACTCTATATCCTTCGTGGAGTCCTGCTGCTATTAAATCAGCAATCATGACCACAGGTTAGAATTTCTTCCACTTTCCGTTAGAAATTCAAGTAGGAGTGATGAGTAATTAAGTGTCACATAGGTTAGAAATGCCTTAAGGCGTTAGGTTAAGATGTGGTGTCTAACTCATTTATTGTGATGGACTGTTGCTTAATCTATTCACTGTGCCTTAATCCGGTTCGAGCACCATCCGACTCATATTAGGGACAATTCTCCCAATATCATTTTCTCCATTCATATGACTTGAATTCAAGATTTCTAGTAGTTAGTAAGTTTTGCAACTTTAATCACACACACATACCTTTGTTTATGTTCTTCTATATTTATGCACATGGAAAGTTGGTAATTGTCCTCTTTTACTTTCAGCTACAACACTAGATAATGAGTCAGAGACCCTGCTGAATGCTACTAATGGCCAAGCAACACCATTTAGTTATGGGGCAGGACATGTTCAACCAAATAGAGCAATGGATCCTGGCCTAGTTTATGACACAACAATTGATGATTACCTAAACTTCTTATGTGCTTTAGGTTACAATGCAACACTAATATCAGTGTTTTCAGATAGTCCTTATCCATGCCACAAGAACTTTAGTCTCCTCAACCTAAACTATCCTTCAATCACAGTCCCAAATCTATCTGGGTCAGTCAAAGTAAAAAGGACATTAAAAAATGTTGGTTCTCCTGCAACATACATTGCTCATGTTCAAAACCCAAGTGGAATCACCATTTCTGTGGAGCCAAACATCTTGAAGTTCAAAAAAGTTGGTGAAGAAAAGAGATTTGAAGTAACCTTGAAGGTTAATAAAGGAAAAGCATCAAATAACTATGTGTTTGGAAAGCTGATATGGTCAGATGGCAAGCATTATGTTAGGAGTCCAATTGTGGTGAAGACCCTCTAGCTAGAAATTGAACATGATTCAGCTAATTTACTTTTCTAATCATTAGAAGCTGATTCAAAATAGTATCGGATAGCTTCTTGGAGTTTTATGTTACACCGATTGATAATAATGATTGCATGAGATAAAAAGAATACCAAAAAAAACTTAGATGCCTTTCTTTCGGCATATATTTTACTCAGTATACTTCTAATTTGATTCCAAGGAGAAATAAAACCTAACATGTTCTTCCTCTTAGTGACAAAATGTCACAAGTTTCTTTATTTGTAATTTTGTCTCTGTGAATCTTGAATTGGGTACATGTTCCAGGGTCTTGCACTTGAACTTGTGCAACCCCACGCTTGGAAGCGTGTTAAATGATCAATGCTATATTTTGTCCCATCCTGTAACCATCTTGTAACGTTTTCAATATATAGAGGAATATTATACATACCACCAATTAAGTTTATCATTTTTTATCATCAAATATTAATTGTTTATTTTCACCAATCTGATAGTTATAATTTATTGGATGATATTTATTAATTAATTATTAATTTCCAATAAATTATAATCATCAAATTGACGGAAATCAACGGTTAAGATTTAGTAGTAAAAAATAGTAAACGTAATTGATGATAAGTGTAACCTTCCTCATGTATATATATATATGTGTGTGTGTGTGTGAGAAAAATATTTCTCAAGTTGGTTGAGATATATTTATCTTCGGCCAAAGTACGTCGTTTTGTTTATTTATTTTCTTATATTTATTGAATCACCTTTGAATAGTTATGATTTCCTTTCTCTCTTTTCCTTTATCACCATTAATCCATCTTTGTACGGTTATGATTTAGTGGCCGAAGATAAAATTATCTCAATCAAATTGAGAAATGATAAGCCCTATATATTATATATATATATATATATATATATATATATATATATATATATATATATATATATGAGGTAGGATCATTTGACACCGGTGTCAAATTTGAAATTTGACACCGGTTCTGAGAGCCCTTAGATCAAAAAAGATCAATGGTGTCACATGCTTACAAATCAGAGCCGTTGATCTTTTTTGATCTAATGACTCATTTGAGAGCCATTAGATCAAAAAAGATCAATGGTGCCACATGTTTACAAATCAGAGTCGTTGATTTTTTTTATCTAATGGCTCTCAGATAAGGTGTCAAATTTCAAATTTGACACTGGAGTCAAAGGATCCTACCTATATATATATATATATATATATATATATATATATATATATATATATCCACACACACACAAATATACGATTTAATGAATATTTAGTGACTGAATATTCTGTGAGTCCTATTATAATTATGTACCTCCGGCGTACATAGTGGATTGCACCAAACGTTAGGTATAGTCACTGTTCATCCGACAAACCCATATATATACATATATATGTATATAGGGAAAAACTACTCTTATCTTGCATAAGAGTAGTTTATCTCCTATAGACCCATCGAAAATCGTAACACTCTTTTTTCTTTTTTTGTAAATGGTGGGCCCCACCACATGTGTATCTACAATATGAGAGATCTTTTCTCATGCGACATGAGATTAAATGAATCCATATATATATATATATATATAGGGAAAAATATTTCTCAAGCAGCTTGAGATAAGTTTATCTCCGGCCACCCCAAAACTACGTCATTTTATTTATTTATTTTCTTATATTAATTGATTCACCTTTGAATGGTTATGATTCTTTTTTTCTCTCTCTTCCTTTATCACCATTGATTCATTTTTATACGGTTATGATTTAGTAGCCGGAGATAAAATTATCTCAAGTAGCTTGAAAACGATAAGCTCATATGTATATATGCTTTAATGTTCCTACAGTGAACGTAGATAAATTATCTACATTCGCTCCCAAAACGACATCGTTTTGGGTCGAAAAATTAAAAAAATACGATGAAAATGACTATTATAACCCTGAAATAAATTATAATTACAAAAATAACGTGATTTCTGTCTCAAAACGACGTCGTTTTGGGTTCAATGTAGATAAGTTATCTACATTGACTATAGAAAAAGCGAACATACATATATATATATATATATATATATATATATATATATACATATGAGAAATGTGTTTCTCATGTTGTATTAGACAAATTGTCTCATGCCACACACAAAAAATTGGCGGGACTCATTTTTTTCATTTCTCTTTCTTCTTCTTAGTGGGTCCCACCCATTTTTTTATGAGTTGTATGAGATAATTTGTCTCATGCAACATGAGAAAAATTAAGCGTTATACATATGGGAATTATTTATCTATAATTATCTCATGCAACAGAGACAAGATAGTGGGGTCCACTATTTAAAAAAAAATAGTGAACCCCACTACTTTGTCTCTGTTGCATGCAACATGAGATAATTATTTCCCTACACACACATGTATATATATATAAGATAATTTTTTCTTCGTGTATAATCCTGCATAATCTCGAATGTTATCCGTTCCGTTACGTAGACTAAATGATACAATGCAAGCAAAAGTTCCTAGATTCATGGAGATATAAAACAACATATAAGTTATCATGTTTGCATAACCACCATTTGAGTCTCCGACAATTATTTCAATAATGACATATCCAAAGGACGGATATGCAAGCATACGTTTCATGCTTGTTTGGGTAATATCAATGAGATTCCCTAATATCATGCTAAGAATAGCTAGGATTTCCAGAAGAAGATGCCATTTGTTTGGCGAGAAATAAAAAGGAATATCAAAAGTTCGATATAGTTAAAACACCTTGCTTTTTAGATGATCCCTATAGAAAAAGATGACTGTTCTAACAATCCTTTTTTCTAGTTACTTTGTTCTCTATTTCTATTTGAGAGAATGGGTTTCTTATCTAAATTCAAAATTGCAAATCGGACTTTTCATGTTGGGTATGAGGGTCGTCATCTCATTTTCTTTAAATGTGGAAAGTACGGGCATAGAAAAGATAGTTGTCCTCTGAACTCTCCTTGTGAAGAGATTGTTGAGAAAGCAGTACAACCAGAGGAAAGGAAATCCATTCTGAAGAAAGTTTTACCGGAAGATGGAAAAACAACAGCTATAGAGGAACCCTTCGGAGGGTGGGTGCTGGTGCAACGGCCATCTCGTGGAAGACGACCAAAAGCAGTTACAGGGAATTCAAATGGAATTAATGCGGGAAGCAAACCAGTTAATGAAACAATTAGAAAGGTAATGAGCAAAAATGTAATGCGCTCAAGATTTGCGGTGATTGCGCAGGATTTTAAAGATGGTAGTAACGACAAGGAGCGTGTAGTGATGCACATTGACAATTCACAAAAAGAACCTGATGTAACGGTCAGATTAGATGAGGACTAAACCAGGGGCAGACGACCAAAGATGGGTCCAAGAATTTCAAAGATATTGAATGCAGGAAATGAAACCAACAAATTAACGATTGGGCATGTCATAAGCGTTAATGTTGATGGTGCCAATTCTGCACCAAATATGCAAAATATACAAGGAGAGAATAATGTTAAGGATGGTCCAATTATGGATGGAGATGGACAAAAGGGATTCCACGAGGATAGGTAGCATCATAGTTGAAGAAACACCAAATGAGGGGTTTACTGAAATTGACAAAGACATCTCCCTATTAAAGGATGGGTCCCAGGAGGAGGGAGTTAATGGGTCATATCAGGAGTTAGAAAATAGATTTGGGCCTAGAAATAAGGCCTCACCCAATGAAAAGAAGTCTTTTGGCGGAGATAAGCTTTCATCTAAAGCCTTGCGGTTAAAAGAAATAGCACCTAAGAAGAATGTTGGTGGATCTATATTGCAAAAATCACACAAAGCAGTTTAGAAAAAAATTAAAAACCTAATGAGCAGAATAAACAAAGCAAAGGGAAACCACCGAACCCACATCCAAAAGAAAAAGAAGGATATGATGATGGAAACAGGGAGAAACCTGTAGATGCTTTACAACTTATGAAATGGTATGATCAAGTTCATAAAGGAGAAGGAGAATATGAGAGCTTAGAAGCTCTAGGAGCTACTCGTGTTTATACGAGTTTGAATTGAGTGGAACGTGTGTTCCCTTCTTTTGTATGAAGATGATTTATTTATGTTTATTTGCTACTAGAACTGCAGTGGAGTGGGCAAGAAAGGCTTCATCCCCTTAATAAAAGATATTGTTCAAAGACATAGAGTTGATATTATTGTTCTTCTTGAACCCATTCTAGTGGGTTGAAAGCTTATCGTAATATAAGAAATCTTGGTTTCAATAATTATTTCTATACAGATTTTGTTGGTTATTCAGGTGGTATTTGGTTGCTTTGGAATGATGATACTATCCAAATCAACATTCTAAAGAATCACCATCAGTATATACACGCCAGTCTGTTCTGGAAAAAAAGTAGTAAGGAGGAGCTGGCAACGTTTGTCTATGCAAGTCCAAGGCTTTTGGAGCGAAGGGTTCTTTGGTCAGATTTACAACTTATTAAGGAGGATAGTATAGGTCCTTGGATGGTGATGGGAGATTTTAATGCTTATCTTAGTTGGGATGAAAAAGAAGGTGGAAGTTCCTCGAATTGGAGGAGTATTAGAGATTTCAATGAGTGTTTGGAATATTGTAGACTCTTAGATATTGGTGCAACTGGTCCAAGATTCACCTAACAGAGAGAAGTCTTAAAGGAAAGGCTAGATAGGGTGTTATCAAATGAAGAGTGGAATATTGGTTTTCCGAATCGTAGACTAAACCACCTCAATTTCTATGGCTCTGATCACCGTCCTTTGCTTTTATAGGATGGCCCGATGCAGAGAAATTTGGAGAATCCACGCCTTTTTCGGTTTATGGCAGCATGGTTGACTAGTGGTAATTTTAATTTGATTGTTAAAGATTGTGGGAAATAAATAGGAAATGGGAGGATATGAACAATATTTTCAGAAATCGTGTTTCTGATTGGCATCGTGCAACTTTCCAAGAAAATCATAAAAGAAAGAAGGAGCTTTTTGTGAGGTTGCGAGGAATAGACAATAGATTAGAGCAATCTCCGAATAACTATCTGGAGTGGCTGCAGAAGAAGCTCAATCTCATTTTGGCAAGGGAAGAACTCACTTGGTTTCAACGATCTAGAGCTAGATAGGGAGCCAAACCTGACCAACGGAAGCTAGCTTTGATAGCTTGGGAGAGTGTGTCAACCGAAGGCAGATGTAGGTCTTTGACTTAGAAAAATGAGAGAGTTTAATAAAGCTTTCATGATGAAGTTAGGGCATGGTCTGATAACGCAACCAGATTCCCTATGGGTTA